TCAGGAAGTGGGGATCCAGATCCAAACTCCGCAGTTCAAAATCAGAGATCCAAGGTTCAGAATCCCAGAATTGAGGGGTCCAGATCCAGGTCCAGAATCCAAGATTCAGAACCCTACTCCAGGCGTAAGAATCATGGTGTTAGAATACAGTTTCTACACTCCAGACCCCAATTCCAGGTTCCAGGTTCCAGATTGCTGGTCCTATCTGTTGATTTCTTCTGATTTGGGGCTCTTGCCCTTCCTGCCTCCTCTCCCTTTAGAAACTGTCCCTGACAGGGAATTCTTCCTTATAGACTCAGACAAAAGCTTCAACCTAATAAATACTCATTAGGCTTTGTCCCGCACCCAACTAGCCACCTAGGTGTCCCCACCTGTAAACCTGACTCTCAGCCACCTTCCACCCCACCCTACCCCCTAGAGACCCCAGGTGGGGCCAGAGCTTACAAATTCAGTCAGGTGCCTGCTCCCCTTCTTCTGGCATCCAAGCTGCCCCAGATGAAGCTGGAGGATCTTTGGGGTGAGAGCTTTGAAACAAGACCTAGGGATGGGGGCACTGGGAGACACCCAGGAAGACACAGTTCTGCCCTGGTCTAGGGGAGACACTGGATGCCCTGGTCCCAGGAAGCAGACATACACTGCCCTGAGGCACTTGAACTTCAAGGGTACCTGTGTAGGTCCATGTGTCCTTTACTGAAGCCTCAAGTTGGACCTGAACAAAGAAACTGTCCTGGAGATGCAAGAAGGAGCTGAGGAGGGGCCAAGGAGGAGGGGGATGGAGTGAATCAGGAGGATGTCCCCAAAAGCTCTTGTATCAGAGCTAAGAAAAGGTCAGGAGTTATCAAGCGTTCAGGCCAGCTCAGCTCAACCTCCCCAGGTGTCCCAGGTGCTAGGCCCCAGGCTGGGGACACAGAGATGACCTTATCTGAGCATTCCTGGGGATCTGTGATGTGATAGAGGTACACCAGGGGCTGTAAGGCCCAGAAAAGATACCTGCTAGGTCTCAGTGCTTCCTGGAAGAGGTGGGAGCTGAGCCTTGGAGGGAAAATAAGAAGTTGGAAGATACGGGGAAGGCTTTAATTCATTCCCAAAGCTTGTTAGGGCCTCCCATGGACTGACTGGACCCTTCACCAGGAATCCAGTGTTCAGTCAGGCCAGGCCTGCCTACAGCAAGTTCTCAGTCTGATGGAGGAGGCAGACACCACTGACTAGAGATGGTCAGAAAATCCCTCAAAGTCAAGTGGATCCTGAAAGGAATGGCATACCTGGGAGGAGGAGGCATGGAGGCATGGAGGCATGACATCAAGGAAGGAAAATGGGAGAATCAGCTGTGTCTAGAAGGGCAAGGTCATGAGAGACCCCTCAGAGGGCCTGATGGAAGGAGAGAAACCACTCATATCCTCGAAAGTAAGGCTGGGGAGCTAGGACTTTTTACTGGGTGTGCTGGCGATATCCTGAGGGCTATCAGCAGGAGTGCAACATGGTCAACTCTGGGTCTGGAAAGACCCTGAAAGGCCATGTAGACTAGGGGAGTGTGAACTTGATTGGAGGGACAGACAGGGGGGCTGGGGGGCAATGGGCACCCAGAAGGCCAGGTAGGAGGCTGGGTTAGGGTCTGGGGGGAGAACATGTTCGGAGCCAGAGCCTCCAGCATGTCTGAGAGAGATCCAGGAGCAAGTGGGATGGTGCTGGGGCCTGACAGGCTGTGGGGGCACCTGAGGGTCTGTTTTGGTGCCTGGAGGAACAACATAACCCTCAGAGATGGGTAGGAACCTGGGAAGGCCGGGGGTGGGAAGAGCAGTCTGGGGTGAGGGGTGGAAAAGATGGTAGAAGAAGTTTATCAAGCAGCAGGTGGGATGAGTTTGTGTCTGGAAGGATCCAGGTGAGGGCACAAGTGTCCAGCCTCAACCCGGTTCACTCTCTCCTCTCCCCAGACTTCAACAGAACCCTTGTCCCTGCTCCTCACCTTCTCCTTCCTGCTGATATCTGCAGGTGAGGTGGGCCCAGGTCAGGTCTGGGTCTATGGGAATGGCGTCCCCCTCCCCCACATCAAGAACAAATCTAGGCCCTACAGTCTTCTACTTCCCCCCCCCTCCCCCCCCCCCCCCCAGAGTCCTCACCCTGCCCTAAGACTATCAGAGGCTGGGGCTGCCCTGGAGTCCCCACGTCAACTGGGGCCTCTTGCTGCTTCTGACAACAAGAACAGTCCTTGGGGTGACACAGACCTGAGTTCAAGCTCCGGGGCTGCCCTTTCCTTGCTGTGTGACCTTGAGGAAATTACCTCTCTCTACCTAGAGTGCCTTCTCTAGAAGACAGCAGCTACCTATGACAGTAATGGTGAGGTTTCAGTAGCATAATGTAGATAAAGCTTACCATAAGCCTTAAGAGTTAAGAGGCCACGAACACAGCCTTCTGGGCTGGAATTCCAACTCACTGTGTTCTGGTGACTTAACATCTCTGTGATTATGGAGATAACAGCAGACGCCCCCAGTGTTGTAAGGGTTAAATCTGGTCCTGTGGGTGAGGCATGAGAAGATACTTAGTCCAGGGTAGTGTCCTGTAAGTGAGCTGAGTGCTGGGTAGATGCCAGGCAGTCACAAGGATAATATGCCAGAGCATCCCCTAATTCTCAAAACATCTCTGTGGGGTCGTCTCTACTAGCCTCATTTGATAGGGGAAGGGGCTGAGGCTGGGGAGGGGTGACCACTATGTCAAGGTGACCCTGGGTGGCAGGAAAACTCCAACCCATGTTCAGCTACCACCCATGGAGAATTTAACTGTAACCTGATGCCTTTACTCTGGAGAAGCGGAGGGTGGACTTTCATTATACCCGCACATGACCCTCGCCTCTGGGCGCCCCTTGAAGCTCCCCCCTGCTGGCAGCCTCCCCTCAGGCTTTCTCTGTGCTCTCTCCTCCCTGCCTCCTGCCTGCCTGCTGCACCCAGCCCAGGCCTGCACCCCCCTCCGGCTTGTACTGGCCAGGAGCAGCCTCGACACGGCGGTTCAGCCTGCACCCTCTGTCCTTCCTCGCAGGACAACAACCCCGCCCTTCCCTTGTTAAGCCCCCTGTCCACCACATCCTCATTCCCCCGACCTTGCCAGGGCCCTTGGCTCAGTTCCTGACCATGGCAGGCAGAGGATGGGCTTTCCGTCTGGCTCTGCAAATTCCTGCCCCAGGGTGGGTGTCTGCGTGACCTTCAGAGGTCATATCCCCACTGCCCCGCAGCAGATCATAATCTTGTAACCTTGAAATATCCCCGTTTATGTCCTTGTGCATGGTGCAGTGTGTGTGGGGGGGGGGGCGTTCAAAGCTCTGTGTGTCCACATTCTACCCTCATGTGTGAACCGGTTTCCCTATGTAAAACCCAGTGACCTTGAACACCAGTGACTGAGTGGGGGGCTCATCTAGAGATGGGAAAATATGTCCTGCCCTGTGACTCTGGCTACGTCTTTGACCTTAGATGCCTAGCCCTGTGTGCACTGTTTCCCTGGGGTCTGATCTAGTGGGTCCACATCTGAGTATTGGCCCTCTGGATTCATGTCTCTTACTCTGAATCCCTATATAGTGACTTGAAGAAGAATCACAATTTTGACCTTGACTCTCTTCATCTGAGCCTGGTCATATGTCTGACTTACTTTGGCTAAATTTCTGTCCAGAACCTAATTATCCACATGTACATCTACATAAGTAAATCTATGTCATTTATTTAAAATAACTAGTCTTTATTAAGCAAATATAATAAGCCAGACATCATAGACACACACATATTTAATCCTTACAATAATCCCATTTTACAGAGGAGGAAGCATAGGCCCAGAGAGGTCAAATAATTTGCTCAGAGGCTCACAGATAACACGTTTGGATCTAGGGCCTTTACTCTAACATTCCAGATTTAACCACTATACTTAGACTCATGTCTGTGAACAAGTCTTTGAGGGTCTGAGTTCATATGTATGTCTCTCCCCATGTACCCTTATTAAGGACCCCACCGTGTTGTCCAGTCCCTGTGCACTAGTGTGCAAGTCTGTGACTGGTATATTCAGATCCACACTGGAAACTATAAATTTATTTTTTTAAAGATTTCATTTATTTATTTGTCAGAGAGAGAGAGAACGCCCAAGCCCAGGGGGAGCAGCAGGTAGAGGGAGAGGAAGAAGCAGGCTCCTCGCTGACCAATGAGCCCAATGCAGGGCTTAATCCCAGGACCGTGGGATCACAACCCACACTGAAGGCAGACGCTTAACCAATGAGCCACCCAGCCACCCATAGAGACTATAAATTTAGGTGTGAACTTCTACATGCAAATCAGGGTCTGTGGTGTGTGGGTGTGTGTGCGCACACACGCACATGCACGCACGCCCATGCTGTAGCTGTTCAGATTCAACTATGTCTATGAATATGCTGTGATTTTTGGAACTTCAACCCATGTATATGCAAGTGAATTTAAGCTTAAAGTGCTCTCTTCCTCAGTTCCTACGTTCGGGAGACTGGTTGTTCCCCAAGTTTGCCCATGACCTTGTGTGACCATATCTGCATTTGGCTGAGATGTTCAGACTCTGAAGCCAAGACTGCATGTCACACATATCGAGTGGCCACATCCATTTGATGTCTGTGACAGCTTGGCGACCTTGAATGGCTGGTTCCAAGTGGTCATCTTTTGGAACCTGTATCCAGTGTTGCTTTCTCTACTAATCTCAGAGGACTTCTTGACTTCTAGTCCTTTCCCATCTCCCTGTTCTCCCAGAATCCTGCAGTAAACAGGTGAGGGCCAAGGGCAGGGGGACAGTTCTAGAGAAAACAAGCAGCAGTTGTAAAAGCCAGGGAGAAGGCAGTGCTGAAAATTCAAGGACAGGGACATCTTAAGAGATTGGGGGAAAGCACAAATGAAAAATGCATGGTATGGGCAGGGTCCAGGCAAGGTGTAGGACCCAAGGAAAAGGACTCTGTCCTCAGTGACCCTCCTCTGCTCCCTCTCCCAGCAGCCCAGGATGACACTAACTAGATGCTGGGAAGTGAGGAGTGTGAGCCCCACTCCCAGCCGTGCCAAGTGGCCCTATCTGAGCATGGGCGTTTCAGCTGTGGTGCTTCCCTCATTTCCGCAGTCTGGGTGCGGTCTACAACCCACTGCCAAACCTGGTACGAAGGCAGGGCTCCAAGTCCTGAGGGGCATGGGGGCAAGGGTCTAGGGATCTGAGCATCTTGGATTCTGCGGAGGAAGGAGTTGGCACCTGGCGGTTGAGTTCCAGGGCGGGAGCAGGGGAGGAGGGGGGTGCATCTCCTCGGTCCCTGAGTGGCAGGGGCTAAAGCTATTGGCTGCAGCGCCTTGGACAGTGTATGGCATCTCCAGATTCTCGGAAGGTGGGGGGACCCCAGCTCGCTCGCTCTTTGATCTTTCTGTGCACTCCTCACTCCTCTTGCGGGTAATCACCCGCCCTCACCCGCCCTCACAGCCTCATGAGAGTGCGCCTGGGCAAGCACAATCTGGGCAAGCACAATCTGCGCAAGCACAGTGGTCCCAAGCGGCTGCGCACTGTGGCCCGAGTCATCCCACACCAGCGCTACGAAGCGCAGCCATCGCCGCGACGTGTTGCTACGTCTGACACGGCCCGCGTGCCTCTCCCTGCACGTGCGCCCCGTGGCGCTCGCTGCCCACACATTGCCCCCAACCGGGTGAGGCCTGCTTGGTGTCCGGCAAGGGCCTGGTGTCTGATGACAAGCCTGGGACCAAAGGGAGCACAGAGTCACAAGGTGCATGAAAGGATGGCTCTGGGTGTCAGGCCTCCAGGGACCCTATTCTCCAGGGCTCTTGGGCGAAGGAGACTAGGGCCTGAAAACACGGATTCACTCCAAGTCCATCGTTCCCCCCGTGAGGGATACCCAGATACCCTGCATTGTGCCAACATCAGTGTTACCCCAGCCACATCTTGTAACAAGGACTACCCAGGGCACCTGATGGCCTCTATGGTGTGTGTGGGGGGAGTACAGGGCGGAGGCCCGGACTCCTGTGAGGTCAGAGCCATGGGGTAGAGGGACAGGTTTGGGAGTTGGGATAGGGTCAGGTTGTGCTTGCTTTGGGCCAGAGAAGATGCCAGGGAGAGGTTTGGGGATGGAGAAGGAAGAGCAGTTAGAATAGGGGTGAGGTTGGAGATGGATTAGATTGTGTTTGGGGTGGATGATGTGGTGATTGGTTTGGAGTGGCCTGGGTTTGAGTTAAGAATAAGAATGGGTTTGGGACACCTGGGTGGCTCAGCCAGTTAAGCGTGGCTTAGGTCATGATCTCAGGATCCTGGGATCGAGCCCCGCATCCAGCTCCCTGTTCAGCGGGAAGTCTGCTTCTCCTCCCTCTGCCCCTCTGCTTATGCTCTCTGTCTAAAAAATAAATAAAATCTTTAAAAAAGGAATAGGAATGGGCTTGATTTGATTTTTTTTTCCAGATATATTTATTTATTTTAGGGAGTGACAGAGAGCACGAGGTGGGGAGGGGGCAGAGGGAGAATGTCAAGCAGACTCCCTACTGAGCACAGAGACTGCAGCCTGGAGCCCTGTGCTGGGTGGGCTCCATCTCAGGATCCTGAGCTGAAAGCAAGAGTAAGATGCTTAACTGACCGAGCCACCCCAGTGCCCCTGGTCTGATTTAGATGGAAAATATTTTGGGTTGAACTGGGGGATAGGGAAAACTTTGTCTAGGGTATGAAAGACATGATGATGACAGGATTGGTTGTGTAGGCAGTGAGGATGGGCGTAGGTCTGGTTTGATTCTGAATGGGGAAGATGTAGGGGTTTGATTGAGTTGGGGTTACATGAGAAGGATAGAACATGGGTTGGCTGAGTTGTATTGACTTGCGTTAGGTTGGAGTTGGGTTGGATTGGTTTGGGCTAAATTGGGTTATACTGAGTTGAGGTGGGGTGGGATTGCATGGGATGGGGTTGGATTAGATTTTGATTGAGATTGTGAATGGTGATTGGGATAGGAATGGGGGCCCTGAATCCAGAAGTTTCCCATTCACACTTTCCCTTTTCCCCACAGGGTGACTCTGGGGGGCCCCTGGTCTGTGACAGAGTCTTGCAGGGCATTGTGTCCTGGGGTGATGTCCCCTGTGACACTACTACCAAGCCTGGTGTCTATACCAAAGTCTGTAGCTACTTGGAGTGGATTAAGGAAAGCATGAAGAGGATCTGACAGTTTTGGTCTCCTACCTTGTGTAGGAGAAGCTCCCAGAGCTGACCAGCAGCCCCATCCTGAATGGGGACAGAACTGAGCCATCCCTCAAGACCTCATTTGTCCAAGGGGCAGATGTTATCCAAGGACTTGTCCCATCTCAGGCTAGGGCCGGTGCTCAAGTTCACCCATTTTAAACACTGAGATAACAAGAGTGCTGATGCAAGTTTCTCTATAGGAGTTTCTGTGACATTTTTCTGGAGATGAAAGGAAGTGGGAGCCAGAGACTGTGGGGAGACCCGGAGCCACTGTACACTGTTCCTTTTCACCCACACCCCAATGCCTAGGTGAAGAGAAACTGCTTGAGGTAGGGCTCTCTTCATTTCCATACACATAGGATCACCTGTGTAATCTTTTTTTTTTAAGATTTTATTTATTTATTTGACAGCCAGAGATCACAAGTAGGCAGAGAGGCAGGCAAAGAGAGAGAGGAAGAGAAGCAGGCTTCCCGCTGAGCAGAGAGCCCAATGAAGGACTCGATCCCAGGACCCTGGGATCGTGACCTGAGCCGAAGGCAGAGGCTTTAACCCACTGAGCCACCCAGGCGCCCCCACCTGTGTAATCTTGAGGAAAAGACCCAGTGCCCCTCAGCTTTGGTTTTCCCATCTGTAAAACAGAACTCACCGTATTGCTTCCTTCACAGGGCTGTAAGGATTAGATGAGGAAGCTCATATGAACTGATTTAAATAGTGCCTGGCGCTGGGCAAATATATCTCCGGACCCCAATGAGAGGACCCAGCACACTAGATGATCAAGAATGACCTCATTTTCTTCAAGACTTCATCATGGACTTCTTGGTAGCCAGGCAAAATGGCAAATGCTCTCCTTTCCTTGGGCGGGCTTCCTGACACACAGTGGAGACTGGGTTACCCTGCGATGTACTTTGATTTTACTGAAGAGCCAAGGGAAGGTGTCAGGGGCCTATGAATTTAACACTGAGGCTGCAGAAATCTGGTTCCCAGTTCTCAACAGAGATCCCCCCCAAGTGTGATCTTCAAGGTCACCCAATGTTGAACTACATGAACCTGGCTCATGAGACCTAAATATTTTACTGGGGGAAGGGGAATTAGAATTTGTGGAGAAGATGCACTGACCGTGGAAGGCAGAGAGTCTGGAATTTGTGGGACTTTGGGGGACATAACCTTGAGCATCCTGGGGAATAAGGAATAGGGGTGAGGTGTAATGGGATCCCAACATTGCTGAAGGGCAGGGGAACACTGGGTTTTGAAATGCTAGGAAACATAATCGGGGAGACCACTGAAACTTCATACTTCTCAATCTGGGAGTACTAGGGTTATGGTGGTAGGTACCCTAAGATTTTATTTGGAGAGAAACAGTAGGGTGGGGCCTAGATCCTGAGTCCGGGAGTGTAAGAATCAGGGTGTTCTGAAAGCCAAAGCTTACGTTTCAGAGGCAGCTGAAGCTGAGAAACTGGCATCTTGGCTCCAGGTGGTGTAGGAAGAAGGGAATCAGAGCCCCACTGCTGGTGTTTGACGTTGCACTGGTTCTTTAGGTGTGTGACTTTCCTTGGGGTTCCGATGTATGGGGCTTTGTATTGGTGGTCACTGATTCCTCCGCTCTCTTTCTTCTCCCAGTCACCCCCCCCACACCTCTCCTCACTGGCTCTTGTCTCCAAAATCAGGGGCCCAGGAGCTCCAAGCCCTGCCCTCTCTGACCTCAGGCCCCAGGAACGGTTCTAGCACAATCAGAGTCAGCGTGGAACAGGTGCTCGGTCTCCCGCCCCTTCCACAGCTCTGGGGTGGAAGGAGGTGTCCAGCCCCCAGGCAGCAGGGGCAGGGCCTTGGCCAGTATCTGTTGCCAGCAGGGCAGGGGTGGGGCTAAGGTGGGAGGGGGGATGAGGGCTTTAAAACGCTCCTCGGGGAAGCTTCCAAGCTCCGAGCTCACCACCAGCCTGCCCGTGGTCACCATGTGGTTCCTGGTTCTCTGCCTTGCCCTGTCCGTGGCAGGGACTGGTGAGACAGTGGGGAAGATGTGGGGTGGGGGAGTGGGCCCGACTTTCATGCTGCCCTCACCCCCCATAACTCCTTTCTCTCCCATACTCCACCCCAGACCCAGGCCCCGAAAGTCCCAGCCCCTCTTCCTGGTTGCAGTCCTCATTCTTGCAGTAGGTTCCTGCCCCCTCCCAGGACCCCCAGAACTTTCTCCTCTTCCCGCTCAGACTCCTGCCCCTTACCAAAGGGGCAGAGCCTGGGCCATCTCTGTCTCTTTCTTTGGGGGACTCCAACTCTTCCAAGGAAGGCCCCAATCCCAGCAGGCCCTGGGACCCTAATCACCCTCACCCACCCCCTAGTTCTCTATGGCTTTGTCTCCTGAGTCCCCAAATTCTTCTATACCCTGGTGATTTTTCCCATCTGGCTGTCTGCTCTCAACTACGTCCTCCTTTCCCTGGCATCTGGCTCCCTTCAAATCTTCCCAGGACCCCCAAATTCCATCAGACACCTATACTTCTCCCCAAACAGACTTTCTGGCCCCTCTGGGTGGGGCCCTCCATCATGGTATAAGAATTCTACAAATATCTCCTCCTTCCCCAACTCCTTGTCTGTGAACCCTGCTCTGGCACCACCCCCTCTTCTCCCTGAGGAAGAACACCCAGAACCCCCAGCTACAGGCTCCTTCCTTTCTGGAATGTCCTTCCTCCCCATGCTCCAGCCCTCCCCAAGTGAATCCTTCCTGTATGGCTCTGGTTTTCTGGACTTCCCTCCAGGATCCCCAAATACCTTCACAGGCCGGCTATCCTGCCCTACTCTCCCCCCCCCAAGTACTCCAGCATATATTTCTAAAACGCCACATCGAGTGGGTCCTCCCTGCATTCCCATAGCTGCTTGGCCCCAGTAAGTCTCCATCTTCATTCCTATCTGGCACCACCCCCGAGAGACCCCAGATCCCTCCTGTACCTGCAGACGATGAACCCCATCTCCATGAGAATCACCCAATCCCAGAGGAACTATCATGGAGCTCTGCCTCCCCTAAGCCCCCTTCCAGTCCTGACCCCAACTCCAGTTCCACGGCTTCACCCCTTTTACAAAACCATTCCTGTTCAAGGACATTAGACCCCCAGGGGACCCTCTCCCAGCCCCATTCAAGGGACCTCAAATCACACCAAGACTCCTCAGCCCAGGTGCTATTCTTGGCCTCTCAGACCTAGTTCCCCTGAATCTTTCCAGAACCCCGAAAGCCCAACCTGGGCCCTAACCAATTGCTCAGCCTGGGATCTCTGTAACCCCCCAAATCCTTCCTCCCCAGCTTTCGAACCACTCTCTTGGGGCATATATCTTCTATTTCTAGAATCTTTTTGTTTCCCCTCTCAGAACTTACAATTTTCTGTTCCCCAGGCCAGGATCCCAAATCACCCCCATGTCACCTGGTCCGCACACATGCTACTCTACACACTGCCTTCTTATCTCCTGCCTGACCCCTGTGGTTGGCTCTGTTCTCAGCATAGTCTCCCCACACAGGATCCGTCACCAATCCATAATCCCAGGGATGGCTCCAGTTCCAGAAACTCCCCACACCCCTTGCCCCTCTCCCCAGGCACTCAGCCCGGCTCCTCTGCCCTCATGTCCCTCCAACCCCACATCACAGCTCCCTCTCCTAGCCCTAGGCCACCTCCCACCTGCCCTGACCCAGCACCCCTTCCACAGGTGCCGCGCCCCCAGTCCAGTCCCGGATCATAGGAGGCTGGGACTGTGAGCTGAATTCCCAACCCTGGCAGGCAGCTCTGTACCATTTCAGCAAGTTCCAGTGCGGGGGTGTCCTGGTGCACCCACAGTGGGTGCTCACAGCCGCCCACTGCATAAACGAGTGAGTGGAGACAGGGTGTGTGGGGAGGGGGGGGTGTCTGTGCTCCCACAGGAATAAGCAACTGGGCACAGACCCTGGGTTCACCTAAGGGGAAGCTGGGGGGGGCTGAGGGAAACAAAGATGGTACTGGTCTGGGGCCCATGGAGAGTGGCAGGGACCACCCAGGAAGCCCTCCCCATGGCAGCCTATGTCTCTGTGCTCTCCCTGTAACTGTCTTCCTGTGTTTCCCTGCCCTGTGTCTCTGTGTGTCTTAGTAACTGGCTTTGTCCTGTGTCTGTCTGTGTCTCCCTGCATCTGTCTACCTCTGGGTCCCTCTGCTGCAGACCTCACTCCCTCTCCTGCATCGCTGCTGAGCACCCCCAGAATGGGACTGAGGGGGATCCCCAGAGAAAAGGAAGGGATTCTCCTGACATGTGTGCATGGGGCAGGGGTGGGGGGGGCACTTCTCATGTGCCCAGACCCTCCCTCCAGGACAGTGATGCCCTCCAGGGGACACAGGGAAGGGCTGGTTTCAGCTGGGGGGGGGGGCGGTGCTGGAAGGAGGAGAAAAAAGAGGAGGAGGAAGGAGGAGAAAGTCTGGGGAGGGAGGTGGAGCAGACCTTGGGCTGGCGGCCAGCCCACCCACTGCTGGGGAGCCAGCCCCGCAGTCCCTGCTGCAGCTGAGCCGGTCCCAGGCCCCCTCCCTGCCCCTCCTGTTCTTCCTCTCTGTCCTCCCTCCCTGTCCTCCCTCCCTGTTCTCTCTCAGGCTACCCTCCACCCCCACCACCTGTGTTCCTCACTCTCTCCCTTTGCTTCCCGTCCCTGTTGCACTGAGCCTGCTGCTCCTTCTCCTCCCTGTGTGGTGCTTCACCCCTGCTCCTTCCCTCCTGCTCCTTCCCTCCTTCTACTGTCTCTGCCTCCTTTGTGCTCTGTCTCTCACTGTTCCCCCTCTGCCTCTCATCCCCTCTCTCCCTTTGTGCTCTCTCTTTTTCACTCTTCCTGTCTTTGTCTCTGGCTTTGACCTTGTCACATCCTTCTGTCTCTCATTTACTGTCTTTTCTTCATAGCCCTTTATCTTCCCAACAGTCTCTCTCTCTCCAAGGTTACTCCTTGTTTCTCTGTCTTCAGGACCCTCCCAGGCCCCATCTCCCTTTCTCCCT